CCCGGGAACACCAGACCCATGGGGAGCCACGGGCTTTGGAGCAGACCCGAAATCCTTTGTGAACAGTAAACAGCCTCCCCGTGGAGGGGGGAGCCCAGTGGAGGCTGGTCACCCTCCGGAGCCAACCAGGGACAAACTCCCACAGCACCCAGGAGCGCTGGACCCCGCTGGGTGTCTCAGCCCCTCGTGGTGGCTGTGCCTGGCTGGTGTCCGCTGTCCCCAGGCCCTGTAGGCTCTGCCTGCCCGACACTCACTCAGCTGGGCTCTTGGTGGGCAGCGAGGCAGCTTTGTTCCTTGCCCGTGCATCGGGCCGTACCGAATTGCTGCGGGTTGCTTAGTGACCAGCTCCGCATGGGTATTCTTCCTGCCTGAATAGGGCTTTTCTCTTCCCAAGAAGTTGGAAGAAGTTTCTCTTAGACCCTTCCCCCTCCTCCTCTTTTGTTTCTCTCTCCTCTGGGAAGAGGGATGGGGCTGAGTCCCGCCGGGATCGTGATGGGCAAGGAGGCTTTGGGAATGGGCTGGCAGCCCCCAGCCTGTGCTTTCCCCCAGCGCTCAGCTCCTCTCTGTGGCTGACGCTTCCCAGAGTCAAGGGAAGGAAACTTCCCAGGAGGCTTTCCCCACCAGCAGAGCGTGTTCCCTCCAGGCTTTCCTCTCAATGGCCCAATTTAATGTTATTAGGGATAACCTTGGATGGAGAAGGGCTTTTGCAGTGGTTTGGCGTTTCTCAGCAAGCTCAAAACCACATCCTCTCTGGTCCCAGACAAGCAGCTCTGACCTGGCTGTCCTCTTCACCTCCTCGCTTTGCTCCTGTCCCCCCTGCACCAAGGCACCCCGTCCCACTGGGGGCTGGCCGCGCTGCGGCGCACGCGGGGACACATCCCAGGGAGCACTCGCCGGAGCCACCTGACCTTGCGGCATCAGGTCCGGAGCCACCACGGGAGTCCAAGGGGGTTTGGAGGCAACGTTTCCCGGCCGGCTTCTCGACTCACCAAACACAGTGT